CCCCAAAACCAACTCCCGCACACACACGATCGCACCTCCCGCTCGCCCCACAGAAGCGCGATGAGCGGTGTCACGTGCGCTGCGCCGAGCGCCGCCAGCCAGAACGCCGCCTACGACCCCGGCGAATCTCGGGTCAATCTCGCGTCATCTCATCAGGGGTCCGCCGCCAGGCAGAGGGAAAGAGAGAAGGGGGGCAGGGGGGGGGGGGGTCGAGAGATCGAGAGATCGAGAGATCGAGAGGGGAGGGGAGAAGAGAGGGAGAGAGGGAGAGGAAGGGGGGGGAGGGGGGGGGGAGGGAGAGAAGAGGGAGAGAAGAGAGAGAAGAGAGAGAGAAGAGAGAGAGAACCAAAGAGGGGGGGGGGGCAGGGGAAAACAAAGCGCCTCCGGCTCGCCCACGCCCATCCGCAACGGCACCACCCCGGGGGACTGCAGCGCCGCTACGACGTCGCCGTCCGGCCAGCAGTGTCGGACCTAGAAGGTTCCTAGAAGGTTCCTAGAAGGTTCCTAGAAGGTCGCCGTCCGGCCAGCAGCTTCGGACCAGACTGAGCGAGCCAGCCTCCACCCCCTCCACGGCGACTACCAGCAGCGACCCCTCCCCGCGCGCAAGCCGCCGCAGCGCGGCGCTGCTCTCGCCGCCGCCGTTGTGCCACACCGCGCTCCACCTACAGGAATGCTCCGAGAAGGTTCCGAGAATGTTCCGAGAAGGTTCCGTTGTGCCACACTGCGCTTCACCCCGCCGCCCCCTGCCCGCCCCGCCCCGCCGCCGCCGAAGACGACGACGACGACGACGACGACGCCATCGCCGTGGGCCAAGGCGGCCGATCGGCCGCGATTCTTCCTCTGCGCGGCTTCGGGTTGGCGGCCTGCGTCGCGAGCACACCAGCAGCGGTCAGGTCGTGAGCTGCAGGCGAAAAGGCCGCCTCGAGCCGTGAATCGAGAGAGCAGAGTCAAAGGGCTGCGAAGAGAGGGAATACAGCTGCTAGACAGCCGAGTACGTGTTCTCTCGAGAGGAAGGATAGTACACGGGTCCGTAGTCCCGCATCTAGGGGCTGGCGGCCGCGGCATCAGACCCGGCCGGCGGCGTAAACATGCGCGGCGGCGAAGGAGGCGGAGTGTGGCCACGTCTCGCCGCGCCGCGCGCACGCGCCATCCAGCTCCGCTGGACCGCTGAGAAGCGCTGCCTCTCCTCCGCGCGTTCACCGCCGTCGGCTGCCCCGCTAGCCGCGGCAGCCTCGCCGTCGCCGTCGCCGTCGCCGTCCGCCTCCTCGGCCTCCTCGGCCTCCTCGGCCTCCTCGGCCTCCTCGGCCTCGTCCACGCTCCAGACATCACAGCCAGCGGCGCCACTGCCGCCGCCTCTCCTCCCCGCTCGCACTGCGGGAGCCGCATCTGCCCTCTCCCCGGCGCCGGCACCGCTGCCTCGGCCGGCGCTCGCCGCCGCGGGCCGCCGCCTCGCACCGGCGCCGAACCGCGCATTCATCCACGCCGCCCGGCTCGCGGAGATCGCCTTTGCCTCCTCGGCCGCCGCATGCGCCCTCGCGAGCTGCCCCGTCTCGGGCGCTATCGCGAGGCCGACTTCGCTCGAGCGCGCAGCAGCCGCGTCCTGCCTCCGCTGGTGGCGGTTCATCCACACCCACGCGACTCCGAGCAGTACCACCGCCGTTGCGGCCGCGAGAAGCGACAGAAGCGGGGACAGGAGCACAGCCACGCCGCCCGTCTCTGGCGGCGCCTGCACGACGGCCTCGCATGCGCTGCTGCAGGATGCGAGCATGTATGCAGGGTTGCTGCTGCACTCTCCGCGCCGCGCCCAGTCGGCGCACAGGGCCTCGCTCGGCGGGTCGCTGGGATCACCGTCGGCCATCGTGCTGCTCTCTCCTCGACTCCCCTCGGCAAAAGATGCTGCTTGCCGCACACTCCTCGGTGGTCGGCCAAGCACAGCGACCCTTCACCCTTGGGTTCTTGCCGTCGTGCCTGGGCAGGGCCGGGTGCCCAAGGGTGAAAGCGACCCCAGGTATTTCTTCTCTCTCGAGGTTCTCGAGGTGGATATCCTTTGGCCGCGTTGGGTAGCGAGGATTGGTGTGCACGGAGTTGCCACTTCTCCGACTGCCCCGGCTAGTTCACGGGTTTCGCGGGAGTGACCCCATGCGTCAAACCCGAGACCTAGCGCGGGTGGGTTGGGCCTCGCTCGCCCCGTTCCTCCCCATCGGGCCGCATGAGCGGCCACGCCTCGCAGATTCGTTTTCGCGCCTGGGTCAGGCGCGCGGGGCATCCCCCGGGTCGACCAGCGATCTGAAGAGTGGCCGCTATGCGAAGGAAAGAGTGGGGCCCTCGGGGTACGCCTCGTCCGGCCCCCTCCGAGGGGGGAAGGGAATTGCGGGGTCCCCTCGGGTGCCTCAGTTCGGCCCTCCCGAGGGGGGGAGGGGAGCAAGGGGGTGGGGGGATTGGGGCGGGGGGGAGGGGTCTCGGGTTTCGTGTGTCTAAGACTTGCCTTTCGGGGAGGGGCTTCCGTTGGAAGGCGAGCGCGGTTGCGCGCGCCCTACGTCTTCCCCTCCTCCCTCGAGGCAGCGAGTAGGCAACGAGAGGAGGTCTCGAGCGCCTATATGAAGGTATGTGAGATGGTGATGGGAATGGGTGGTCGGGCGGGCGGGCGGGGCGGGCGGGCGGGCGGGCGGGCGGGCAAGCGGGGAGAGGCGGGCGGGCGGGGCGGAGCGGGCGGGCGGGGTGATCGGAGAAATCGTAGCCACAATCAGCAGCAGCGGAGCAGCAGCAGCAGCAGCAGCAGCAGCAGCTGCAGCAGCCAGCAGCAGCCTGCGCTCGCCGCCTATTTCTTCTGTGTGTACCAGTGTCCGCGCCAGCCCGCGCCTGGCGAGTACAGACCACGCCTCACTTTTTCACAGGGGGGGATCCGTCTGGAAAAAGGATGCTTTTCGCTGCGCATGCTCGAGCCCCCGGCGAGGTCTTGTGCTGTGAATGCAGGCGTGGTCTGTACTCGCCAGGCGCCAGCCCGCGCCCTTGTTGTGCCAGTGTGCTGTGAGAGAGGCTTGTATTCTAGAATTCTTCTCAAGAACAAGGCTGTGAATCCCCCCATCCCCTGGGCCAGGGCTCGACCTCAACCTCTCACTCACAGGTTAGGTCGCCTGCGTGGATCGCGTCACACCAATCCTCGCTACCCAACGGTCTCGGTCTCGGTCTTAGGTCCTGACAAGGGACACGACAGGCTCGCAGCGCGGTGCTCGGTGGACCCCCAACTCCACTGGCGGTCTCATCTCAGTCTAGCGACCGCCTCCAGCCAACCCTTTTCTGCCGTGGGGCTCCTGTCGTTAGACGTGGAGACGCGAGGGTCGCCCCCCCTTGCCCCACCACCTCGTGTGTGTGGAGAAGTTCACCTAACCTTACCTTACCTCGTACCTCACCGCAGGACGAGGGTCGAGGCGCATCTCCGCGCAGCACAGTCACCGACGTGTCTCAAGGCGGCGAAGCTCGCCCGCCGCGCTGCGCGGCTTTGCCTGCTTCTCCCGTCGCGCGCAGACGTGGAGCGCACGGCCCGCGGCCGAGCGATCCACGCCGGACGCTTCGAGGCGAGGTGCTCGTGTCGGACCCGGCGGGGGGGTTCCGCTTCCACGTGCAGGAGCCGGGCGCCTTCCTCCCTTTCTGCGTCGCCTGCCGCAATGAGACACGCTCCGCGGCCCCCTAGCAGCCTCCCGAACAGTAACAATCGATTCGCACAGTAACGTCTAACCGCCCGCCGCGCGGCCTGACTCATCATCACCTCCCTATTTACATAGGTAGAAAGGTGAAGAACAGTCAGGCTCGGACTGGACACCAGCGCGGTATGGGTGGACGCGGGACAGATGATGACGACACGCACGAGCGACACACAGACACAAACAAGCTCACAAGACACTCAGCCAGCGTGGCTGCCACACACCCTGAGTTGGCGTACACATAACTCAAGGCCACATCCTCCCTGTCGCCCCCCCCAGCACTCCAAGGTGCCAAAGGAGTAGGACACAAACAAGGGCACAACAACACAACAGACGACAGGAAGTAACATGTGAGACTATAGAGCAGGCTTGCTCCGCCTCTAGCAATCTCGCCGACCGCGAGGCCGGACAGGACCGTGTGTGGGGTCATGTGAGGTGTCTCTATGGACGCCTCCTCAGAGCGAGAGGCTAGCGCGTAGCGGCCGCACAGTACACAGTCACAGACCAGCGACAGCGCCATCGGACGTCTTTTCTTCTCAAT